ACAGACAGACAGACACACAGACAGACAGACACACACGAGGTCGTTTGCATAAGCCCGCTGGATAGCTTTTTCAAAGCAGAAGGGCGGGCTAAAAACTGGTTGCTGGAGCCAAAGTTTCTTCGTTATCCGGGAATCAACTTAAACTTTAGTTGGGAGAACTATTTTTTTGTCCCCGTGTTCCTACAGTATTTTCTCCACTCGTTGAGAACAAAAAACAAAGAAACCCTGAAAACCTCTGAGTGAGGTGTCGTGGGTGTCGTGCTCGAAATGATTGAGACAATTTTGCCTCGCTCAATCAGAGCTATAACTAATAAGGCTCACCATATTTGAGTCATATTATGCACCGAATCCTCAATCTGAAGGAGTAAGATTTTCCTGACCTCGCCCAATTGCAGTGAGGAGACTCACTCGAGGGGAAAACGACTGTTAAACTTTGTGTCAGCCGGATTACGGATTACCTGGATATCCTCCGGATAAAGTTGATTTTTATCAAGGATTACCCCGGATTACCCACAAATTTCCCCGGATTATCCCGGATTTTTTCGAATTTCCTCGGATTACACCTGCCGGATTACCCAATGGCTGTCAGCAGAATTACCTTAGTCGTTTCCCCCTTGTCCTCACTGCAATTGGGGAACCACAAATTATGACTCAAATTGAGTCAGAGGCAGATATTTCGCTCTCAGGAGAGCGATATTTTTTGGGTCACTGATCTCGCTCTCCCGAGAGCAAGATATCTGACTCTAGCATTAAGACAAAATTTTACAGTCTGCGGCTGTTTAGTAGCTTTGCCCAGATAACGTATGGCGGGGTGTGGCGGGGCGTGGCGGGGCGTGGCGTGGCGTGGCGTGGCGTGGCCTGGCGTGGCGTGGCGGGGCGTGGCGGGGAGCACTTTGAGCCGGACCGGCCGCGCGGTTATTCCACTTGCCCATGATTACCGCGCTGCGCTGCCGCGACGGCCAGGTGTAGAGGGGGCGGGGATCGTGTGTGCTCCCGCACCCGCACTACTGTTAAAACACAACACA